CTGCTGAACTGTAATCTGGAGGGACATACACTTGGGAGTGTCTGGCACCATTCTTACTACCACACTGGGCTGGAGAATGAAGTCAATAAAGAGGGGAGAGCTGAGAGACAGAAAGAGACCAGGTCTTGATGTCATTTGAGGCCTTAGATCAAGCCCTCCTGGATTCTTCTGGATTTTCAGTTATTTGAGCCCATAACTTCCTTTTGCTTTAGCCAGTTTGAGTAGGGTTTTCTATCACTTGCACCTCAAAAGGCTTATCCAAATTGGCAGCCAAAGAGAATAAGTCATATTTGTAAAGAAAATCATCACCTCCCCTCTACACTTTCTAACGCCCAGGCCATCTCCCGCAATCTGTCCCCCTGCCTCTCTCTGGCACTGAAACAGCTCCTGTAACCCTTGTCACATCCCACGGTCAGATCCAAAGATGTGTCCGTCTTCCCCTCAGCTGACCCGTCTGCCAGTATCTGATGCTCTTGCCCACTTCCTCCTTCATGAATCTCTCTTTAAACCCTGCTGCTCCTGAGTCCTCTTTTCCTTCCGTTGGAAGATTCAGACTCATGATTTCAAAACCCACCTGAGATTCTTTGGGGGTAGGAGTAGGAGAAAAAACAAACATATCAGAACCTCCGGAGGGTGTAGTCACATTCATTTCCTAAGTCTCAAGCACACACTTTATTCTCAAACCTATATATGCACCTTTTCTGAAAGTCTCCATCTCAGTGTCTCACTAAGACAAGTCCCTTTAATTCAACATGTTCAGAGTCCAAAGCCTTATCGTGTACCCGCAAATGACTCCCCCGTTTCCCCAGCAGCCCAGGCTCCTCACTATGTGCATATAATCCTACCAGATCCCACCAAGTCCACTTTCTGAGCCTCTCTTAAACCCTCCCCTTCCTCTCCACTCCTCCTGCCCTGCCTCACCTTTGCCCCTTGCAGGGGCCTTCTAGCTGGTTTCCGTCTCCAGACTCATAATCCCCCAGCTGCTGCCACTGACATTTCAAAAATGAAAATCTGACCATGTGACTTTCTAACTTAAAGCCCTTCTATGTGTCCTCTCCCTTCTATAACAGCCAAACTCCTTAGCAGGGCACACAGCCCCACATGCTGTGTCCTTACCATCCCAAACACATACAACCCGTATCTCAGCATCTATAAATTATTTGTAGACTCTTCAGGGAGGCATATTATTTCATTTATAACCTTAGAGATCAACAAAATGTATTACGGGTCAGACAGCATAATGGAGAATGTAGTCAAAATGATGAAAAATATACATGACCTGTCTGAAGTTTATTGCCTAGTGATTGGAGGCATGCAATCTTTATACCTAGAAAATCCTTCTCTTTTTAACCCGTCAAACTCCTACTTGTCTATCGAGAATGAACTCAAAACTCACTTTTTACAGGAAGACCTTCCGAGACCTCTTTTAGACAGGTGGGCAACTCCACACCATTATAGAGACCATTGCTGGAACCCCCTCGTGTTGTAGCCACTATGCCCTGGTCCCTTAGGACCCTGACTTGCACATAAGAGGACTGAAATGGTTTTGTGAATGAGTAAATTAACAAACAAGCGAGGATACTCCAAGCACCTTCATAGAGGACATGGTTTTCTCCTCCTTCACCATTCTGATTGGTTTCCTCCAGATATGCTCCAATTTCTCCACACTCCCACGAGAGTGAACATCAGCCCGCAGGTGCACCAGACGTTAACAGGGCAAAGCAACATTATCACCAACTTTGATTTCAACAGTGACAGTGCCCTTTAGTGATGCAGCTACAGACTTCATGAACACTTTGAGAAGCCCCAGTGACCCAGCTTGAGTTTGCCATCAACTAAAACCTTTGCATCTTTTCTACATGCTGTAAGGCTCTGTTTCTCACATCCTGTGCAGTGCTTAGGCCCCAAATCCTAAGAGCTCCATATTTTTTCTGCAGAATTTCAGCTTGTTGTTCTGGGCTCCAAGGCTCACTAGATCCCAAATCCAGTCATTCAGTCACTCTCATTGTCAGCTTTATGGACTTCTAAATCAGGGCCTGGGATACCCTGTCATCATCTGAGGCACTTACAGAATGTCCACCATGACAGGGCTGAGGCCAGAGTGCCATGGAGGTCCCATATAGAAATGGATGTATTGTGCATTCTTTCTGTAACAGTCATTCAGGGAGAAGAGAATACGCTAAGCCCTCTTTCCTAC